GTTCTGGAAGATGTTCCTCTGCTGCATACGCTTCAAGTCATATTCAGCAGAGCCTCTGTGATGTTTCACAGAGGGTCTGCAGCTAGTCTTCTGTGTAGATTATCTTTAGCTAGTTTTACTTAGGTCTTTTAGCTGCTCGTGTCTTCCACGTGATCTTGTCTGTAATCTATTTCAGATGAATGACTTAGATTTAATTACTTTAGGTCGTGTCTGGAAATGGTTATTTGGTTGTATAAATAGCAATGTAGGCCTTTGTATTTCGTGTGCTTCCAGATTTGTAATCGTCGACATTTTCAATCAATTGAAAATCATTTGAAGCAATTCTCTTTGTGTTCATTATTTGTTCTTCATTGTGTTCTTACTGTTTCTACCTGTTTGATTGATATTGTTTCCGCTGCTCTACTACTGTCAAAACGATCATTCAAGTAAGTTTTAGTACCAAGAATTGAGTTATTCGATCCAACACAATGTCTCTCTTCATGCCAGGCCACCAATAGTGATCAATAAGATCCTTATACATCTTATCTGTTCCCGGGTGGATTGAGTATCTTGATCTATGAGCTTCATCCAAAATTATTGATCTAAGATTACCAACCTTAGGTATCTAAACCTTATCTCCCAAATAATGCACTCCATCTTGCGGGATTCGGATAATCTTTTTCTGAACAACCTATCTCAACTCTATATTTAGATAGCCAATCCATACCTACAACTACGTCAAAGCTTCCTACTTTGGTTGGGATGAGGTCTATACTAAAATCCTTTTTGGCTAAGCTTAAAGTGCAATCCTTAATTACGTCCCTAGCCCTAACTTCCTGTCCATTAGCAAACTCGATAACGAAATCTTTTTTCAGCTTTTGTGACTTTAAACTAACCTTTGGTCTAAATTCTAGTGACACGAAGCTCCTATCTTCTCCAGAATCAAATAATACAGATGTGTAATGATCGTTCAGGAGGAATGTACCTGTGACCACGTTCGGGTCTTGCCTGGCTTCTTCTACCCCAATCTCAAACGCTCGACCTCGTGCTTTGCCTACTTGATTTCCCTGGTTGACTGGTTGTGCTGGGTTAGTAACTGGCCCTCGGTTCAGTCTTGGGCATGCATTCCTGAAGTGATCCGGGCTTCCGCACTCATGGCATGTTCCTCTCCTTYCGCTCCTGCAATCTTTAGCGAAATGACCTCCTTTGTTGCATCTGAAACAGATGATGCATCTCCCGCCATGGTGATTATTGCACTTGTCACACCTAGGGTAAACTCCCTTGTTCTTTTCTTCTGTCTGTGTCTGAGCCCCAAAGTTTCTTATCACTTTTTGGGTCTTGCCGCCCCTCTCGCTGTAGTTCTTTCTCATGGGCTCCTCCATTCTTCTCTTACCCTTGACCTTGTCATTTGCAAATGATTCTGACCGTATAGCATTGTTGGTGAGTTTTGTCGCTAGGTTCACAGCGTCCTGAAGTGTTTTTGGATTGGCCGAAGTCACATTCCCCCGGATTTCTGGAGCTAAACCCCAGACATAACGTTCAATTCGGTTCTCTTCGGGTGATACCAAGTGTGGCACTAGTTTTGCCAGCTCATGAAAGCGAACAGTGTATGAGTCTACATCACTTCCCTTCATTCCGTGATTCCACAGTTCTGCTTCCAACTTCTGGATCTCGCTCCTCGGACAGTATTCTTCCTTGAGTAATTTCTTGAATTCTTCCGACGTAAGTCCGTTGGTTGCTTCCCGACCTCGGGTTTGTATCTGGGTATTCCACCACGTCAATGCCCGTCCTTGCAGTAAACAGGCTGCAAACTCCACTTTGCTCCCTTCAGCACATTTACTGATATGAAGGACAAACTCCATTCCTTCAATCCAAGTAAGCAATCCCACTGCTCCTTCTGTCCCATGGAATTCTTTTGGGTTGCAAGCCCTAAAGCCTTTGTACGTGCAGTCTCTATTTGCTGCTATACCTTGGTTATTTGCTTGGTTAGCGTTCAAGCCTGCTGCTACTTGGCTAACTATATTAGGGAGGGCTGCCAAAATTTGCTCGGACACAAGTCTCGCAATTTCAGGATCTTCTCTTCTTGGAGGCATATTTCTAACGCACAAATTTAAAATCGAAGTTCAATTATTTTTACTGTTTATCGCTGTAGCTACTTTATTGAATTATGCATGGTACAATTCAATTGTCTACTCATGCATCCATGGATATAATAACTTGACATAATAAAAACATTCAAGCATTAATTATCATCATTTACCCAAAATAGGAACCCACATCATCAATAAAGATGTGCAACAAAAGAAATATATTGTTCACAAGTCATGGCTACGTGTCCCAAAAGAAGTTTCTAGGTTTGATCTATCAAAAGCTTAATAAAATAGAGTCTCTTAGCACATTAGACTCCAAACAAGTAGTCCCGTCACTACCATCAAAGCTCCCGCTAACACCGTCAAGTAGGTATATAACCTCCTAATCGCTCCCTTAGCAGTGTAAATCAATTCCAATAAATGATCCATCATATTGTCTTGCGTGCCTAGAGCCATAATCACCTCGTCGGCGAAGTGTCGATGATGATCCAATCTAAGTTCACACACCTCTAGATCTTGGGCGATGCCCAAAACCCATAGGTTCTCTAAGGTGGTCATGCCCGGTGAGTGCTCTGACGTGGCCCTGGTAGGAGGTGGGGGAGTCACTCTACGGGTGTGCGACTGGGATGACTCCCTCCCAATTCCGAAAGGGGCGGAGAAAGACACCCTTACGGGCGGAGGAATGCTCTTTCGGGCGGTGGCCCGAACTCTAACTCCATGTGCCGCTAATGAATGCCCGGGCATAGAGCGAGGCGGCACGGGGATAGGTAATCACGTCGGGAACTTGGTGACATCGTCATTACTATCATAACTATGCTTAGAGTGCAGACCATGATTATATCTTTGGTCCTAATTTCTTGGCCATTGGCAAACTTAATTACTAATCACATCATCAATAAAACTCTTAAGGTTAAGACGATAGTTGCTATGGTAGAAGCAAAAGGGTAGAAAACAAATTAGAGCTTCTGGATGACCAGAGCCCCTGGTTGACCAGAGCCCCTGGTTGAGGTTCCCATACTTCGAACTACATTTGACTTTTAGCTCATCGGCCTCTGGTTCAACCTTCATAGCAGCCCATTGGATCTCTTGGTTTATCAATATCAGATTCCTTATATATAGTGAACCGATGAGTCGTCTTCCATCGACCTTCTGGTTCCTCATACATAGTGAACAAATGGATCATCTTCCATTAATCTCTGGTTCCTTATACTTAGAAAATATTTCCCTTTCATAGACTAGAGCCTCTGGTTCTTCTAACCAGAGCTTCTGGCTCTCGAAATCAACCTTTCATAGACCAGAGCCTCTGGTTCTTCTAACCAGAGCTTCTAGCTCTCGAAATCAAGCCAACCACAGCTTCTAGATGCTCTTCACTTATATAGAATAGTGGTCCTTATTCAAAACTAGAACACAATTCCCACTATGTCAAGGCAATTTCCTACCTAACGCATAGTGCGAATTTTGAATACAGAGGTTATAGAGACTATACCCCTTTATCTATGTCTAGCTACCAAGTATTTAGATACAGAGTTGACCCTCGGGTTGTCTTAGCGCTCTATATATCTTGCTTCACTTCACAACCAAAGCTTCTAGTTAATCTAAGGCGATGGATATTCAAGATTCATGCAAACACACACGATCATGCTTTTCAGGTTTAAGATAAAATCTCTGAATTTGACCTTTTTTCAAACACAACCGATGGGAATCTTTTATCACAATACTTAATTTAAACAAAGGTGATCAGGCTCCATTTAATTTGAGTACTATAACACGACTTCCACCCTTAGGCTATACTTAGTAACTTTGTTTTGAAAACATTTGGTTATTGTAACAACCCTCTTATTTCATATACACATAATTCACATCATCATACTCATAAATACTGAAAACAGTATTATTACAAAACATGGACTAACAAAAATGTATATTTAATACATATATGAACAAACTAATATCAACGTTTAAACTTTTCCTTTGCCTTTATCTTGCAAA